AACTTCATTCAATTCCCACCCCTTCAACTTGGAATGGACATTAAGAATTCCAAAAGCATTCCAAACTTGGCATGAAGGTGACTGAAATGACTAACATGTAAAGGTTTTGTGAGGAGATGAGTCACTTAATCTTGGGAAGACAGTGGTAACAAATGTATAGTACCTGCAAGCAATTTGTCATGAACTAAATGACAATCAAGTTCTATGTCTTTAGTATACTAATGAAAAATATGATTATTTGTTATATGAAATGTATATTGATTGTCACAACATAATGTGATGTGTTTATTATGTTTAATATAAAGATCTTCTAGAAGATATAATTGTGACACCCACACATACTATAATACACAAATAAATAAAAATGAATAGAAAACTCCATCAAAATTAATTCCAAATATTCAACATAAAGAGTGCCACATTTAACAAAATGAAACCAAATGAAATCTAATACATTAAAATAACAATTCTCCTAAAACATAACTTAAAGATAAATAAATTTTAGCTAAATCCTGATGTAACACCCTATCAAAGCATATACCCAACTATAAGGATTAGGTCTCATCGCTAACATCATCAATCTCATGATGTAAATTACTTGTAACAACATACAATAAAGACAAACACAAACAACAAGAGTGAGAAAAATCTCACACTAACTTACAACGTAAGATGTAGCCAAACAACCAAATACAAACAAGATATTCATATATACAAAACATTTACATATTGGTAAAATAACTTATTTTACTCTTTCATGACATAATTAAATAACACAACATTAAGATGCATAGCAATGGACACGAACTACATATTATCATGTATATGACGTTAGTAAAAACATCATACATCACACTTGTGCATGATCATGCAAGATACATCTCATGCACACAAAGGATGAGACTAAGACTTCCAAACCAACTTATCCCCAAGGAATGAACCTCAAGCTTTTATACAAAGGAGCCTTCTTTAGCGACGTATTCCATATCGTACCCTTAAAAATACTTTTATGCATATAATGCATGTCAAAAGACTATGCATAAAAATTCACATGATCTCATTAATTCACATATCACAAGTCTTATCATATCACATTATCCATCATTTCACTATCAACTAATCTCATATCATATAATCATCAACTATTCTCAATATAGCTATTAACATTTCAACTATATCAATTAAATATTAGCAACCAATGACATAAGAGATCACATCACTATGACTCATACATAGCGCACAATCATATTAATAGCATACTCACATACCACAACTAGTTATCAATATTAATTAGTACAATGATTACACATGGTTGTGATTTAAACACAACAATTACACATCATTTGATACACTTCAAGATAGAATCATTGTGAGATTTTCTAATCATATATTTACACCTTGATCATAATAACTAAGAGATCAATGTCACTAAGCATTTAAATTGACAGCTTAACTAGCTTAGCAACCTTATCAATATCTCGCGTTAAATCCATCAACATTGCTATCATCAAAACACATCAAGTCATTAACAATCAAATTACATCATAAATTATTAACAATTAATTTCTCCCATGATTTATCTTTCCTAGACATTGATATAGGTACCTCAAACCATTCGTAAGATCAAACACTTAAGGGGTAAAGTTATTCATCATCACCATTCACAAACTACATTTCCATAACTTAATATTCTAAGATATTTAGTGGTCAAAACACTTTATATAAAGCTATATATATGCTATAAAGTTGATTTTAATTTTCTTAGAAAGCTAAGATAATTATCTCCAACTTCTATGTTGACCTCAAGAGCTAATTATGTCATCTACTATTTTAAAAAAATACAAAATCACAATATTTCAACTTAAATCTGACAGTCTGATCTTCACTCACTAATTTGATCATAACTTGAGTTATAGACCTCATTTTCAGGTTATTCCAATGGAATTTGAAATATAACATCCAAGGCTACAATTCATATGAAGATCACAAAACATGATTCTAATAGTACCATGCTTGGCATGCCATCTATTGTGCTCAATGCAGAAAGGACAACACCTTCTTGAGAGTACCTACGCCCGATGTGACTAAGGACACACCTAACGCTAAAACTTGTAGGAACAATGTCAAATGGTGCCCAATGCGACCCATTTGATGCCTGATTTGATATCAATTTTAGAAAGACTTGTATGATGTGTGAAAATTGTACATTAAGAACACTAAACTCTAAAACCTCAATCCAATCAATAAAAGTCACAATTAAAACTTAATACAACTTTATTATATCATCCCACGTTCAGAGTGAGACTACTGACTCTCCCTTATCTTGATGAGCAGAAGAAGACAATCTTATAAATCTAGGGTGATTTCCTTTGTTCTCTAGTTCTTTGAGCTCTGAAGTGTAAAAATGTATGTGAAAAGAAAGCTTAAAAAAAGTCTGATAAGAAACTTCCCTTTTTTAAAAATTTAACTCCTCTCTAATCCTTTAATTAAAATATTTGACCATAATTACAAATTCTCTTCCCCTTTAATAAATCAATCAATAAATAAAACACTTAATTATAAAACCTTATAATATATATCCATATCCATAAAAACACATAAAAATACACATATTTTTCTTCAAATACTTATTATAACAAAATATCATAAAAATATATATTTTTTTAATAAATATTATATAAAACAAATTTTACAAATATTTATTATTTAATTAAAATACTAATAATTATTAAAAATCTTTAAAATATTTTTTTAAACTCTTTAATTAATTAAAATATACTTTTAATAATTTTAGGAAACTTGGAGTGTTATACTAAAAATTATTGTGTTCGCTAGGCTCCTTGAGTTAGAACTCTATATTCTGCTTTAGTAAATGATCGTAACACCATAATTTGCTTCTTGCTCTTCCAAGAAACAAGAGCATTACCAATATAAAAACAAAAGTTAATATAAATCTGTGTCTCTATGCAAGCACCCCAATAAATTCTTTTAGAGTCAAGTTAGAAACCTTAGGAAAGAATAAACCCGACGCAGGTGAGGATTTGATGTATGCAAGTACGCGATGAGCTATCTGTTAATGTAAGTCAATAGGAGCATCTAAATGCTGGCTTAATTTGTTGATTGCATAGTTGATGTCTAGGCGAGTGTGTCAAGTACTGGAGTCGACCAATTAATCTCCTATATGAGGAAGCATTAGGGAGTGGTGTGCTTGAGGTCTTGCTCAATTTTGGATGTAGGATCCCATGGGGTAAAACACTGTTTGGAAGCAAGCAAGTTAGTATCTTGGAGCAAGTTTAATCAGTATTTGCGTTGGCAGATATGAATCCCAAATTAAGCCCGATCTACCTTAATGCCAAGAAAATATTTCAAGTCTCCCGAGTCTCTGATGCTGAATTTGGTGTATAAAAGGCCTTTTAATTGTGGAATCTCATTCAGATCATTCCCAACAACTAAATTGTCTACATATACAAGAATTACAGTGAATCCAAACACAGTTCTCTTAGTGAAAAGGGAATAGTTTGCCTTTGACTAATTGAAACCATATTCCAACAAAGTGTGTCAACTTAGCATTTCATTATCAACTTGCTTGCTTTAGTCCATCCAAGGATTTTTTAACTTTACAAACTAAGTTTGGTTGGGATAGTTGGAGACTTTAAGGAAGTTTCATGTACACTTCTTCAGTTAAATCATCATTTAAGGATGCAGTGTTAACAGAGTGAATATATGTTTGATTTGACATTAATGTTAATTTTTTAAGATATAATAATTTAATAATTATATAATTTATAAACATTGTAAATACATAATGTGTAAAAATTAACTTAATTATAAATTAGTGGACACAAATTAGTGTTAATAATACTATCATAAGTGGTAATTATACTTAAATATTTATTAAGTAAAAATTATATTTATTTATCTCATACTTCTTTTACTTTGTTATTTTCAAGGCTTTTAGTTATGGATAAGTACTATTTTAGAAATTAAATTTAAGAAGTATATGATATTTTTTAATATTAATTATATTAATTAATAAGCTATAAATATATATTTTTTTATACTTAAAATTGAATAAATACCTGATTATGATGAAAACAAATGAATTATTAAACTAAAAATAAATAACCGCACCATATACAAATTAATGTGATAAGAGAGATAAAAATAAATAATAGGTATTAATGAAAAAAAAAAATATATATATATATATA